TGGGGGGGGGGGGGGGGTACCAAAATATCAAAGAAAGGTAGGGGGTCCACCAAAAATAATTTACAATAATCATAAAGCATCAGCAATTATTCACTGCAATATAAATGTCAATGCTATATAAGTATAAATAAGTTATCACACGGGAAGGAGTGCAATTAATAATCAACACATACTACGAGTAATATTTGAAAAATGTGCCAAAATTGCACAGGCCGTTAATCATTAATTGCACGACTTGCCCGTGTGATTATTTACTTAATTTATGCATGACAAAATTGCTTTCTTTAAAATTCAATATCATTTTGTCAAGAGTTTTCCATTCTTTTGTAAGCAATTTGGCATAAACAAACTTGGGAAATGATCATAAACTCATAAAGGCACATAACTTAAACTAGTACAAGTGATTCAAACTCAAATAACGCGTTTTAGGTAGAGTTAAAAAATCTTTATAAATTGTAATACAGACTTACATAGTCAAGTTTCACTGCATTTCACGTTCCGCTGCATGTTTCATTTCCTAAAACTGTTTCCAGGAATTTTCCACAGACTCTTCTTACCATATTATGTTTTTAAACTCATTCTTGTGCCAAAATTTCGTTAAATTCGTCCACGCGGTATTTATACAAGATATGATAAATAATGACTGCTCCCGAAGATGATCAACTGAATCCCAAACAACAGCAAAAAATACATTTATTTTTTAATCGCAAAGGTAGATTTAATTGATTCATTGCATTATTTGAACGTAATTCAGTTCGATCCCTAAACAGTTGGTATCTTATCTTTCACAGAACTGTGCGAATATGTTACCACGATTCTCCAGAAACATACTGAAGTAGAGAAGGTACTACTGCTTCTTAGGAAAGGAGTCTAGTCCTATATGACTACATCGAAAGAATGGGAAAGTTTGATAGGAAAGTTTGAATTCCCCTACAGCGTTCTGAACAACGAACGCGGATATTACTGGAATCATGATTTATACTGTACTTTAAGTCTGATGCTCTGCTCCTTGCTGATGTATTTTAAAACTTACAAAACGTCTATATACAGGCATGCAATCCACACTTGCCACTTTTATACAAATCCTGGATTAGCGTGGCAAGCTTGTCTGAAAATGACAGAATTGAAACTCCAGTTATTGACTGATCAAGATATGTATTTATTTGTTGAAGAAGGGTTCCGTGGCGGAATATTCACGATAAGTAACCGTTTCAACAAAACGAACAACTGAGTGTTCCCGACTATGGCCCTGAGCAACTGAATGTTCCCGACTATGGCCTTGACTATGGCCCTGATGTAATATATCTCAACGCCATTGACCTTAATTGCTGGGTTATGTCACAACCGCTACTAATTGGCAAATTTGAAAAGCTAACTAAAGAAGATATCTCCAACCTCGACATTAGGCATATTCCAATCCTGATGATGGCGAAGAAGGTTATATCCTCGAAGTGGTTTTAATTACGTATTCAAAAGAGCTCCATGATTTACACAACGATTATCAGTACAATTGCCTGAGTTGTAGAGCGGTGGGAGCGAAAGCCAAATTGTTCCTCCTGAAATACTCTTTTCGTTTCAAAAAATGAGATGATCTTCCATAAATTAACCGTCCTAAAATTTTGCTAAATATTGAAAGCAATGAGATAGGCCAATAATTCCCTAAAATTGTTTTATTACCCTTTTTAAAAACTGGAATATGCTAAAGTAAAGAAGAAATCTCCCACCTCGACATTAGGCATATTCCCGATGATGGCGAAGAAGGTTATATTCTCGAAGTGGCTTTAACGTATCCAAAAGAGCTGCATGATTTACACAACTAATATCCGTTAGCTCCCGAAAAAATGAAGAGTTCCTCTGACATGCCACACCCCATTGTAACCAGCTCTCTAAAAAGATTTAAAGCTTGGAGATATCGCTGTTCCAAAATCAGTATACCCAAACTCAACAAGAATAACTGACTATCTTGAAAACAATCGCAAAGTATTTCAACAAAGTCCGTGGTTGAAGTCCTACATAGATTTCAACACTGAGAAGTGGAAACATGCTGCAAACAACTTCGAGAAAGTTTTTACAAGCTCATTAATAATGCCGTGTTTTGGAAAACAATGGAAAATCTAAGAAAGCGAGCCGATGCCATGTTGATTATAGACAAGACAAGACAAGACAAGGCAAGGCAAGGCAAGACAAGACAAGACAAGACAGACCTGTCGAAATTAACTGCAGTTTCATTTGAGGCCTTCGGCATTTTCTCTGAAGATCTAGTTGTTGTGAACATGAAGAAGACAAAGCTTACTTAAATCGCGCAATTTACGTTGGATTTACGATTTTAGATTCATCGAAAATGTTAATGTAGCTACCAGTTTAATTAAAAATATGTGAAACATATGTATGGTGCTAACGCTAACCTGCTTTTCACAGATAACGACAGTTTGTGCTATGAGGTATAAACCTGACATTTACCAAGATATACTGGAATTAAAAGAGCAATTCGACACATCCGAGTATGCACAAAACAACTATTATACAGTACAGGAAACAAGAAAGTTCTTGGCAAGATGAAAGATGAAATGCATGGCATCCCAATCCATGAATTTATCGGTTGCAAACCAAATATGTGTACTCTCCATGGAGAACGGCAGACAAGTGACAAAGAAGAAAAATTAATAAATAAAGAATCAGTAACAAAGAAGCAATTTAGACATGAGAATTATGTCTAAAAGATAGAAATAGACAAGAGCTTCATGTAGACAAACTCACAATCCGAGTGTTGTTTTGCGATAAATGTATTTCTAACTAAAAAACTTTTACAACAACAACATGTTATATGTCATGCAAATTTGAATAAATCTAAATAACCTAAATTATCTATTGTCCTAAATTGAATATAAACCAACTAATGTCAAAAACACTATTAATTAACGACCTATTAATGACACTCCCACTTTTTTGACATTTTTAAATGTTAAATTAAACAATAAGTTCTAGTCCAAGAGCATATCGTTTGGCAACTAGTCGCGCTTTGAAACTATTTACTCTTCCATCAGAATCGTGCTTCGCTGTTCGACCGGGTGGCAACTGTACAAGTCTCCAGGTCTTGTTTTCCATCAGTGAATTGTATTCTGAGTCAGCAGCAGCCATCCATTCTTTCGAGTGTTGGTTTTCTTTAGCTTCGCTCATGGACGAGGGTCCTGCTATCTCACATACATTGTAAGCGACATGACGTGCGGGATGTACAGGACTAGCAGTCTCTGCATACTCATCGTATCCATATCTGTGTTGAATTAGTTGATATTACGTCATGCATTCTGATTCGAACGTTTGGTGTATCCATTTTAGTGCCTCGTGTAATTGTTCGTTGCAGGTCTTGTTCAAGTTGTATCTCGATATATTTTACTCATTAAATGTTCATATTTTATCACAAAAATGTGACTGTTCGAATAAATATTCAAATCCAATAGGTTATGGGCCCAGTGGCTGAAGTATTCGAAGTTTTTAATCGAGATATTGCAATAAATTTAATCGTTAAATCGTATTTTGAAACTGGTATGGAAGCATGACAAAATAAATATGGCGGAATCGAAAACTGTTACGGTTGTACCGTTGAATGGGTCGAACTATGGGACTTGGAAAGTCCAGTGTCGCATGGCTCTCGTGAAAGACGGGCTGTGGAGCATTGTTTCTGGAACTGAAACTGCTCCTGCTTCGACAGAAGCTGAAAAATATGCGAAGTTTGTTAGTCGTAGAGATAAAGCACTGGCGATTATCGTGCTTTCGGTACATCCTTCGCTGTTATATTTGCTCGGAGATCCTGAAGACCCTGTAGCCGTATGGAAGAAATTATCAGACCAGTTTCAGAAGAAATCATGGGCAAACAAACTGTCTTTAAGACGACGTTTAAATAATTTGAGGCTGAAAGAAGGGAATTCTATGTCAAGTCATATAAAAGCGATGACTGAGGTTTTCAATGACTTGGCTGTAATAGGTGCGCCAATGGAAGATGAAGACAAGGTTGTAACCTTGCTGGCAAGTCTCCCTGAAACCTATAATATGCTTGTAACTGCACTCGAAGCGAGTTCTGAAGTCCCACAAATGGAACTTGTAACTGAACGTTTGCTTTATGAAGAAACAAAGCTGAATGAGCGAGAAAAGTCCCCCAAAGCCTCGGGTAAAGTTATGGCGGCCTCGAGGACTGATAGGAAATCAATTAAATGTCATCACTGTGGAAAGTTTGGACATATAAGACGTTTTTGTAAAGATTTGAACAAAGACAAAATCGCAAAGGAGTCTAAATCACCTTTAAACAAGGGACAACAAGCTGGAAAGGGGCAGTCAGGTTCTCGTAGTGAAAGTTTAGGATTTGTTGCACAAAGTTTGGCAGCAAATACATGTGGAACTAACAGTGAAACATGGATTGTTGACTCTGGTGCAACATGCCACATGTGTAACAACAAAGCTTTGCTTGAAGACTTTGTTGAATTCAATGAGCCTGTTGATGTAATGCTTGGTGATGGAAAAGTTCTGAATGCTGTTGGAAGTGGCATTGTTACAGTATGTACTAATCTTGTGAATGGAAAGCAGCAAGAGTGTAAACTACATAATGTACTTTTTGTTCCGAAACTGAGCTATAATCTACTAAGCGTATCGAAAATGACTGAAGCTGGTAAATCTGTTAGTTTTGAAGAAACAAAATGCAATATTTCATGTAGTGACGGGGAAATTATTGCAATTGCAAAGAAAGTTGGATGTTTGTACTATTTGGATTTTCAACCTATCTTAGAATGTTCAAATGCTGTATCAAATGAAGGAACTGAACTCTCAAATGAAATGTTATGGCATCAACGTCATGGACACTTGGGAGTCCAAAGTTTAAAGCGATTAGCAAATGAAGATTTAGTTGAAGGTTTCAACTTTGATACAAAGAAAAATTTGGAGTTCTGTGATGCATGTGTACAAGGAAAGTTACACCGGTGTTCGTTTCCTAATAGTGGCGCAAAGAGAGCTAGTGAACCACTAGGCTTAGTGCATAGTGATGTGTGTGGAAAGATAAACACTAAGTCATGCGGTGGTGCTGAATACTTTTTAACATTCACAGATGACAAAATTCGCTATGCCTTGGTGTATCCATTGAAGCAAAAGAGCGAAGTGTTCAGTCGGTTCTTGGAGTGGAAAGCTGTTGCTGAGAAGTTAAGTGGACATAAGCTAAAAACTCTAAGAACTGCTAATGGTGGTGAATTTACTTCAAATGAATTTGAGAACTATTTGAAATCAGAAGGAGTTAAGCACGAGTTAAGTGTCCCGAAAATCCCAGAGCAGAATGGCGTTGCTGAGCGACTAAACCGGACACTTATTGAAGCAGTTCGAGGTATGCTTATTCAATCTAAACTACCGCAAAAATTTTGGGTAGAAGCACTCTCGACTGCTGTTTATTTGCATAACCGAAGCCCAACAAAAGGAGTAGCCAACATGACTCCATTTGAAGCATGGACTGGAGTGAAACCTGATGTCAAACACTTAAGAAGTTTTGGATGCACTGTGTATGCACACATTCCAAAGGATGAGAGAAAGAAGCTTGATTCAAAGGCGAAGAAATGTGTTCTGCTAGGATATGGAACTGAAACCAAGGGATATCGTTTATATGATCCTCAGAATTCAAGAGTTATATATAGTCGGGATGTTAAATTCAATGAAAGTGAATTTGGCATTGAGAAGGAGTTGCCAGGGAATGAATTCCAGGCTGATAAACATGTAACTCTCGAACTGTCAAATGACAATGATGTAGTTGTTGAGGATGATCAAGCAGATAATGCAGAAATTAACGAGCGCCAACCAGTGCGAGAAAGGCGTGCACCTGACCGTTTTGGTGAATGGGTAACTATCGCAAGCAAAGATGTTGTTGAGCCAACAACAGTAAGTGAAGCATTGTGTGGTCCAAATGCAGAACGGTGGCATGAAGCCATGCAGCAAGAAATGGATTCGCTACAAGAGCATGATGTATGGAAACTCACAGAACTGCCGAAAGATCGGAAAGCAGTTGGGTGTAAATGGGTATTTAAAGTAAAATACAATGCTGATGGTTCAATTGAGAGACATAAAGCTAGACTTGTTGCTCAAGGTTTTTCGCAAAGATTTGGGGTGGATTACGATGAAACATTCTCCCCAGTAGTGCGTTTTGAATCGATACGGACTGTTATTGCGTTATCTGTTCAAAGAGGATTAAAGTTGCATCAGATGGATGTAACCGCTGCTTTTCTAAATGGAGAATTAGAAGATGAAGTGTATATGAAACAGCCCGAAGGTTTTGAAGTTAAAGGGAAGGAACATCTGGTTTGTAAGCTAAACAAGAGTCTGTATGGGTTAAAGCAATCTTCCAGATGTTGGAATTCTGTATTGGATGAGCATTTAAAACCGATCGGTTTTACTCAAACGGAAAGTGATCCCTGTATTTATGTGAAAGAAGAGGACGGTGATATTTTTGTTGTTGCTATTCACGTTGATGATATCATCCTTGCAGGTAAAACTGATGAGAAAATTGCCAAAGTCAAAGAAAGCATTGCAGAAAGATTCCAAGTAAAAGATATGGGTGAGCTCAAATATATTCTTGGTCTACAAGTGATTCAAGAGGATGGTAAGGTGTGGATTGGTCAACCTACCTACACGGCGAGCATCATAAAGAAGTATGGTATGGAAAATTGTAAGCCAGTTGAAACTCCTGTTGATTTAAGTTCAAAGCTTGTTAGTGCTATGGAAGACAGTGAACGTACTGTTCAACAAAGAAGAGTATCAGTCAGCAGTTGGGAGTTTGTTGTATTTATCATCGGCAACACGACCTGACATAACATTTGCAGTTAACAATGTTGCTAAGTTCTCTGCA